CATGCACGATCAGGAAGAAGCAGAAGGATGACCTGGCTAACATCAGACTTGCTTTTCATTGTGTCTACACACCTCTTGGTAGTCTTCCCAGTGTGAGGGAGCTTCCTAGCTTTTAGACAGAACTGAGTATCACCAGCTTCTAGAAAGATGCTGTCCATCTTTCTCACCAGGGCCATGGGAACGTGGCTAACATCAGACTTGCTTTTCATTGTGTCTACACACCTCTTGGTAGTCTTCCCAGTGTGAGGGAGCTTCCTAGCTTTTAGACAGAACTGAGTATCACCAGCTTCTAGAAAGATGCTGTCCATCTTTCTCACCAGGGCCATGGGAACGCTGATGTTTTGCAGCCCCCATTTCAAGGTTAGGTTGGTGGCGTGTGCTTCCCTAGGGGCTATGCTCAGATCAAGCTGGGGACCTGAAGTGGGTGCAGAAAAAGTTGTGTGCTTGGTAAGCAGAGTCAGAACTCAGGGCTGGGACTTTTAACACATCTAGCCCAAGCTCCATCATATCACAGCCAGTTCTCTCTGCGTGGAGTGCAATGGCTCATGTTTGAGTTCAATAACGCACTTTCTAGAAAGGGAATCAACCTGGATCCAAGGACATAAAGGGACAGAGAATACACCCCTTCTTTAGCATTTTCTTCCAGAGACTAATTGCTCTGTAGCAAATGTGAACCAGATGATTCATTAGGATATTTTCTTCCAGAGGCTAATTGCCCTGCAGCAAATGTGAACCAGATGATTCATTAGGATTTTTCAAACTCCAGCTCTCAGCCATTGTTCTGGTTCTTGCTATGCCTTTTCCCACTGATTAGAGCTCCGAGACCTGGCATTTTTCTCCCCATGATAGAACTTGCACGCTGTAATCAAATTGCCTCTCAACAACCTGCAACAGCAAAGCCCAGCAATGTCTCTAAGCTAGAGTCTCTCCGTTCCTCTGAAGAGGTAGTAACCAGTGATTTTTAGCTGTTCAGTCACATGAATCATCCTGCCAGTAAAGCCAATTCCATCACGTTTTTTCCAGTTCCCTCTGCTTTTCCTTTGCATAAATCTCATGACATGGATGCACTGGCATCTGCTCTGCTCGCCTGTGAGTTTCCACGTACAGTTGAAGGTGTTAGGGTTGGCTGTAAGACCCTGCATGTCCATGTCCAACTACCTGCTGAACCAGTGCCTCTTGTGCTGCATCTGGAGATGTCTCTGAGTTGGAACTCCTCTCTGTCAGAAATAAAAGGATGCTCTTGTAAGGACCTTCACCTTGGGCGTTGCTTCATGTTCAATGGCCATCAGAAGCCTGCCTGAACTATGGAGCATATACGTTGACTTTTAATAGTAAGTTGGTATTTGGGCTGGTTTCTCTTATCTTGGGGATCTGCTGGATCGAGGGGATTTGGGGAAGCCACTCCCCAGCCATTTTAGGCGGTTATTTTAATGTCCCGGAATTAGTTAAAAATGAAAAGGAAGAAATGAAATTAAACCTCTGTTTCTTAAGAAAACTGAGCTTTCTTAGTTGCTTTCAGGGGAACCATTTGATCCATAAGACCAAGTCCACAGGACTTTAATTTTTAAATCTTTTTTAATCTCGTTAACATCTTCTGTACACTGTTTCCTGTGTGCAAAGCCCAGGGGCAGCCCAAGCAGGAAAAAAGAGATTGGAACAGACTTTGGAGCAGAGCCTACACGTTTGAGGGCTCCTGGATACTTTGGCTCGGTGGAACACCTTCAGCCTGTAGTTCAGCTGTGTTTAGTGCCTGATATGTCCAATATAATGCATAAGTTTTGTCTCCACTGCTGTGTGGGCTTTATGAAGCTATTTCACTACTCTTTTTTTTTTTCTTTTTTTTTTCTTCTTGTTCTACCCTGTTTTTCTCCTTTCAGGCCATAGAATGTTCTGGGTGAGCACTCTCATTCAACCACGTTAGTGTACACCAATAATTCTGGAAATTCTGAAACTAAGAAGCAGTTTTGTCAGTACAACCTTTACCGTGTCAGTCGCATCTGAACTGCAGATGCTGCTGTGGAGTAAAAAATGATTCCCTAGACTTAGACAAGCCAAACAGAACGTTATCTTGCGTTAATCCAGCTATGTTGTTTCTGTTACCGAAACCAGCTCCGAAACACCTGTGCCAACCTATTCTTAATATCATAACGTCACTTGCCACTCTTTGGGAGTGTCATCAGAAACGGCGCGTTGCTCAAACAGTGCTGAATCGTGCACTGACTCACCAGAAAGTGCCCTTTTCACCGTCCGCATCCCGGGGGTTCCTCTTGCAGTATCTCACCCGATGACCGGCATAGCCCAGCCCTGGTGTCATCGGCACGAGCTCCCTGGAAAGGGTGTGACACAGCCAGGTATGCCGAGCGCTCACACACCGCATTGTTCCCCAAATAACTCCGGTTTCCCTGCAGGTAGGTGACAGGGGTTTGGTTTAAATGCATATCCTGGAGACAAAGTCTTTAATCATGACACAGTTTCGTAGGCAAGATCAACAAACTGAGAGAAATGTGAAATTGTGACCTACTCTTCTTGGACAAGCGTGCGTTAGCTCTCTAGCAGTCATTGTATTTCCCTGGTTTTAGTTAGCTTTTGTAGTTTTACTACAGGTACGACAGGCTGGAGCCACTCTGGTTGTGAACACTTTTATCTCTTTGAAGACTCTTCCTTTTGAAATGAAATTTCTCTTGGCCGTTCTTAGCTCAGAGGTGGAACTTTACGAAGCACGGGAAGAAACTGTTTTTAGCAGGGGGGGAATTTTGGAGTATTTTCACTTCCTTTGAAGGCGCATGTTGTTCCTGAAGGAAAACCGTGTGGGGCTGAGCAGGAAGCGGGGAGGCTGGTGTGCGTTCCGGCCTGCCCTGCCTGGCCTGCCCACAGCTCCCTCCCCTCACTGCGGCTGGGCCTTGGGGCTGGAAGTAGGTGAGGAGGCTTTTTTTTGTGTGCGGATTTATTCTTAAAACCAGATCTGAGGGTGGGCCGGTGTGCCCCAGTGTGGAGTTTACTATTGGATACATTTCTTGGTGTCGCCTGGCCTCCTGTGTTTTTCTCTGGTAGTTTTTTTTTTTT